AATCTCATGATAAAAGTTGACAAAGGTTAAGAATGGAATACAACCCTTTCCATAGTGCATTTGGCCACCAAACAAGCTACTTGTTTTAGAAAAATGAGCAGAGCAATTTGGAATAACTAGATGATCTGGACATGCTAAAGACTTCTCAAGAATAAAAACCTAATTTTTCCTAGAGTAACACTTAATAGGGTCTGCTTTCATGCAAGTGCTCAAAAATCATTTATTGAATGAATGAACAAATGAAGGATGGCCTTAACAGGTATAAGAAGCATTTTCTGAGAATAAATCATCTTTTTTCCTTGAGAGAGAATGTGGGGGCAGTTACAGTGTCTGGACATATGCCTCAGACATTTCAGAGGTGTTTTTTATTTTTTTTATTTTATAATTTTCTTTTTAATTTTTTTCTTTTTTTTTTTTGGAACAAGAGCAATAAAAACCAGAAAAGAGTCATTTCTTTTAAAGCTACAGCAGAAATTGGGGGGGTTTGACATTTTTTCCATCTTAATTTCCTAAGACTGCTCATTGGGAAGTCTTTGGTCAGGTGAAGAAAAATTGCAAAAGAACGACTCATGCCACGGCTGGCAGAAATTTTTGGCCAGACACTCTCCAATTCAGGTACAGACTTCTCAAATCCTGTGGAATCTTAGGAAAAGTCCCTTAGCTTGCTTAAAAATATCAGTCCCCTCATGCTAAAATAAAATATTGACTTTGTTGAGCAAATGTAAAAATTAAAGAAGATTAATCATGGCAATTACAATGCCTGGCACCTCAAGCTGATGAGCATTCCTTCCTTTATTTCCCCTTCCTTTATGTCCCCTTTATTTCCTTCTTTGACACCCACTTGTTCCAAAACCAGAGGTGTGGGTGAGATGATGTAATTATTCTTTGAAATGTTTTTATTCCTTCTATTCAAGAACTTGAAAAAAAAAGTGAGTTGGAAAAGTTCTAGGTTTTCTACTATATTTTTCCTGTCAGATCTAAGATATCAAATCTTATTATGTAATTTTTTTAAATATTGGGAAGATGAGGACTAAAACATAAAAATTATTATAACTAGACAGGCAAGAAAATGAGGGGGGAAAGGTTTTCTGTGGTTTCTCTGTTTTCTGTTCTTATCTCTAAGAGTGGTGAAAGAAAAACAATCTAAGAGGAGGTGGCTCTTACTTTAGAGGTTACTGCTCTCTTAGGAGCTTTAACAAGGACATCTGTTGGCTTTTTAACAAAGAAAGCTGGCTGGAGGGGATCAAGAGAGAGTGAAGGAGACTGGTTCACAAGGGAGTCATACACGTTTGGTATTTTCCCAACTGAAAAAGCTCCGCTTCTGAAAGAGCTAGGCTAGCCTAGTTAGACAAGAATCTATAAACAGATGAAAGCTTTCTTTCCTCCATGTTTCAATAGTAGTGATCAACAGCTGTTTATATCCTTTAATACCTAACTAAGGGTGAAGCTTTCACATCTGTCAATATTTTCCGGTTCTACTTCCTTGGATCGCAGTGGGTAGGAGGTGAAGTTTGAAACCCTCCCAATTCCCAGCCAGGAACACAGAAATATGCCAAGGATTCAAAGCTATAATGCTAAGCAGAACTCCCCATGGCTCATCCACCCAGGGTCTGTTGTTGGCTGAGAATTCCTCTTTTACTTTATCCTGACAGACATCTTGATCATTTCCATGATAATGACTCATGGCAGCACAAAGATCAAAAAGAAGAAAAGTAGGCTGGAATCAGGGGGAGGAAGAAGAGAAAATGAGTTCTAACAGAAAGAGGCTTCTAAAGGTAAGTTCTTTCCAAAAACTAGCAAGAATATTATCTAACACCACATAACAGTAGTGAGTTGGATGCTGATGCAGACCCTGGGGGACTAATGAATGGTGGTGATTTTTACTGGCCCCTAACATTTCACCTTGGAAAAGCTAAACAAAGAAAATTAAACCCTGTGTACGTGTAAGGTAGAGAAAATACCCAGCATGGTGAAAAACTGACTCAGAGATATCTTAATTACTTCACCTTGGTTATCAGTGCCACATATATGTTGAAACATTAGAAATTTTGTGGGTTTTTTTGTTTGATGTTTTCTTTTTTGGGTTACACCCAGCAATGCACAAGGGTTACTCCTGGCTCTGCACTCAGGAGTTACACCTGGTGGTACTCAGGGAACCATAAGGGATGCAGGAATCGAATCCGGGTTGCCCGGCGTGCAAGGCACCCTATCCCCTGTACTATTGCTCCAGTCCCAGAAAATTTGTTTTTGATCAATCTATCAATCCATGCAAGGACTGGACTTAGTTCTTAGTTATGAATATTTAAACAAATAAAATAAAATTTTTTGTGGGCGGTGGGGTAGGTGTTGGGTCACACCCAGCAATACTCTGATATTACTCAGAAATCACTCCTGTTGTCCTGGCAGGGATATAGGAGGAGAGGAGTTGGGGGGGGGGGAGTGTAGGGAATACCAAGGATAGAACCCGGGTTTGGTTGGCTGCATGCAAGGCAAGTGAAGTGCCCTACCGTTTGTACAGCCCCAAGATGAAGCATTTTCTAAAGATTTAACATTCAGACAAAAAAAAAAGCACATAATATAAGGAATGCATGAGAATTTACTACACAGAGAAGGTGGGTGATTCCAGAAGGAGAGGACATCACAAATACAACTGGAGAGGAAGAGTCGGACTGTTAGTTGATGAAGGAAAAGCATTCTGTGTGATTATATTATACAGAGATGTGGAAACTGACTTATTAAAAGTGCAGATTCTTAGATCTTACCAAGAGATTCTGATTTAGTTATTTATTGTGGGAATAGAGAGAAGGGTAAGGGGGAGGGGGTCAGAGAGAGGGTGTTAAGGGATTTGCATTCTGAACAAAAGGCCCATGTAATTCTCATCCACACAACTTTGACAAGGCTCACTTACATAAAGTAACATTTTTCAAGATGCTAACACTATGAAATGCCGCATACTAAAACATTTCTTTATTGAAGATTTATAACATACATTAGTGTATTACAAGTCCTGTAGTCAAGAAATCAATTTCACTTAGCATTTCCCAGACTTATTTTCCTGTGGGGATTAATGCCCACAGTGTACCTATTAAGATCAGTCAGATCACTTGTGTACTTTGGAACACAGACCAGAAAGAGCTGAAAAAAAAGATACTGATCTGCTGAGTTTATTCTTCAAGCACAATAAATGGCTAAAAAAGAGAAAGTAAAAGCATATTACTCCGAGAATATGGCACATCACTGATTTCCTCCGAGCAAAGTCTAAAACTTCTCCTGGTATCTTATCATAGAAGAGAAGTTTCCTTACTTTCAATTAACACACCATGAATCTGTGATATTTCTAGTCACCAACTCTGTAGTAAACATAGCTGCCAGAGATAAGTGAATTCAAAGAGTTCAGTGGGAGGGATACTGGGAACATTGGTGGTCGAGAATGGGCACTGGTGGAGGGATGGGTACTCGATCATTGTATGACTGAAACGTAATCACGAAAGTTGTAAATCTGTAATTGTATCTCACGGTGATTCATTAAAAAAAATTGAAAAAGAATTCAAAGAGTTCAAAGCATCAAGGAGCAGAATCAGAAAAGGAGACAAACAGGGTTGTCCCTGCCCACCTTTGTCTTAGTGCTATCATGTTTGGCTCAGAATATTAGCAATACTCATTGATACAATCCTCTCCTTATAATGGGAAAGAAAAAGGTTTTCCCAACAAAAGAAACCTCTGACAGTCAAGTGCAATGAGAAGCCAATAAAGCCCATCCAAAACCCCTCAGGGGAGCCTATTATATAGCCAGGGGTTTGATGCTGGAGGAAAAGAGAGTTGCACTAACATACATCCCATCTGCCTTAACAAGGGACTGCAAAGAGAAAGAGCAAAAGGAAATGGACAATCAAGACAACATCATGATTCTGAGCAAATTGCTTTGTGTGATGAATATTTTAAGATGTACATACTCTCCTAGTCAATTTATACCTTTTTTTCCATAAACTTGGTTATTTCCATATGCCTCACCTTAATCTATCATATACCACAAACACACACACACCACACACACACACACACACACACACACACACCAAATGAGCACACACACCATCTAAGAGGTTATCTTAACAATGTGCTTCAAGTATCTTTGATCTAACTGATCAGAGCTTTTCAAAAATATTTTCCAATAGCGGTGTTTTTTTTTTCCAATCATTCTGTAAATATCTCCTGAGAATCTACAAAGATTTCAGGAGTCAGTGCTAGGCAACGGAGATCAATCAGTGGAAGTAAGTTGTTCATTCCTATTGAACATAATACTAAACAAACACCCTCCTGAATTGAAATTCTTTCAGTTATGAAAACTCCAATGATAAGCAACATAAAGAAATATGAAAGTTATAAAAGTTGACTCAGAGAACAAAGAAAACAAAAGCATTTTCGTTTCAAGTATCTTTCTGGGCCTAGCAGCTACACAGGTTCCAAAATTAACTGTACAATCTGGAATTAATAATATATGACCAGGAGAGGGATGTCATGATCAATATATCCTCAGAATGTCACCTGGTTCCCAACAAAGCCATAGATTCTCATATTACAATTTCTTTTTTCTTATGTTTTTTCAACCTGAGATGAATATGGACAATATCATTACAGTTAGGTAATTTTTAACCAATGGACCAGAAAATAAAAATCTATCCAGGATAACAGGATCGGTGGGCTTGGAGCCTAGTCCTAAAAATAGCTAGCAAAATCAAATCTATGTTTGCCTGGCATATGGCTTATGTGTCCTGAGTTCCATGATATATAAAGTGTTTCACAAATGAGTTTTTTTAAAAAAATTCACTGAGTTTCTGAGATAGAGAAAAACAAGCTGCCAAGTAAGTGATGATGATCTTTAGCAAAACATTAATAGTGGTGTTATCCAGCACTAAAAGTAGTCCTAGAGGAAGCCTCTAAGATTTCAGGAGCTTAGGTGGGACATGACACACTCTTGTGGAAGCTGGTCACAGACTTACCCACACACGTTGGAAATATATCCTCATTGTTGATCTGAACCTCAATCCAATCCATAAGAAGGTTCATGTACTGGGGAGCTGGCAGTGCCGTCGGCTTCTTATACTTGAGATCATCCTGCCACCGGTACTCATATTTGGGGCCTCCTGACATCACAGGGCAGGTGTGCTCCGTGCAGAACTCACAGATGGTGCCATAGATGAGGTTGATCCGATTAAAAAAGTCTACCACATGCACCGCCACCCAGTCATTCTGGTCTTCCCCGCTGGGCAGCTGCACGGCTGCCTTCAGATCCACACCTGAGTTGAGGGATGCCTGAGCCCGTTTGTGAAGCTCAAACCTCTGAGTGCCAGGTTCAAATTTCCTCTTGGGACGGAAAGTCTTGTCCTTGTTGAAAACCTGCTTTAAAGCAATGGACATGGTCTTCTCTTTCTCTTCCTTTCTTTTGCAAGAAGTAAAAAGGCACCTGGGACTTTTCAGTGACAGATCACAACCCAACAGAGTTTTCCACTGCCAGCCCTCTGGCCCCAGTCTTGCGGTCTAAAGTTTTGGATCTCTTTTAAGCAGCTCCTTCTATCTTCCCGTTGAATAATGTCCAGGGAAACCTCATGTTTCTTCCTAAAAGCAGGAGAGAAAAGTCATATTATTGCCCAGTATGCATTTAAGAAATCATGAAGATTGGGACTGGAGAGAGAGTACAGGGATTAAGGTGCTTGCCTTGCATGAGGCCAACTCCAGTTTGATCCCCAGCATCATATGGTCCTCACCACCACATCTGGGAGAGACCCCTGAGCACAGAGTCAGAAGGCTGAGATCCTATTTTCACCTTGTGTTTGGTTGTGCCTACTTTCAGCCAAGCATAAACATTTTGAGGTTAAGCGTAGTCCCTGAAATTTTGAATCGGCTATTCAAACCCTGCAAATGAGCAAGAAACAGAACCAGACCCTTTCCTATGGGCTTAGTCAAATCTCTGGCAGTTCTGCCCTGTGTGACCCGAAGTTCAATGAGATTCTCTCCAAGTTGTTAGGACAAACATGTTAGCCAGTGAGCCATAGATCCTATAGTGGCAAACACTCTTGCATATTGAAGTAAATATTAAATTCCTGCTTGAAGTTTGGAGTTTTGTTTTTTTAAAGATATATTTAGTAAACTTTAATATATCAGTCTCTTTTACTGGATGGCAACATTTCAAAATGTCAACCTGCATTAAAGTCCCTCATTGCCCGGGTAAAACCAGCTTACCTGGGGGAAAAATCATCTTTGAAGCCCAACCAAGTTCTTAAATGTACTCCTGACTACCACTTATTAAACTCTACTATGTACCACATCCTTTACATATATTATAAATATTTTAATTCTTAGCAAATTCTTGCAAGGTGGACGTCTTTACAGACTTTTTTAAATAAAAAGTAGAGACTGAACCTGATAAAATAATCTGCTTATATCACAAAGATTTGTTAGAAAAATAAAACAGTAAATGCTAAGGCTCAATTTTGAACCCAGAAAGTCTCTGGCACTGAAACACATATGATTTTTTATTTTCATTACAGCTGTTTGAATAACATAAACATTTTTATGTTTTTTAAATTCCTTCACATGTAGAAGTTTCAAAAACTTCTCACAGCAAGAGTATAAAAAGAAGCTAGAACACTGCTATTATTATCTCCACATTACTGATAAGAAAATAGAAACTCTGACCTGATAGTACTTGTTCCAACCACATTAATCATTCTGACATTCTGACATGCTCACATGGACGTCTTTTCTGGTCTTTTTTTTTTTTTAAATCTAGAATGAAGTTCTCTGGAGAAAGCCTAGGTTGAGAGATAATTACCCATGTTTAAAGACAAAGGCAATCCAGAATGAATTAACCTGCTACTGAATGGCTAAACACAGGCATCTGTATGATCTTTTCCAGAGTGTCAGATGCTATATTGGGATAGATACCTACAAAAGTATTGAAATAAAAAAGGAAATAGAAAACCTACTTGGACTTCCTTTCTAATCCAGAGCTCCATTATAAGTTCAGCTTGTGCTCTGTTAAGAAGGCTTATTATCAGGCTATAGTATCGCCCTCAAATGCTATAAAATAGGGTCTTTCAAAAATGCAGATTCTGATCCAGTAGGTCTGGGCTGACTGTCTAAAAGTCTGCATTTCTAACAAGCTCTACCTCTCTGGTAATGACATTCTATAGACTGGTTCATGTTTTTCAACATCAAAACTAATTTAACTACAAAAGTTTGTTTGAAAGGCAGACTCTCAGGTCTCACCCAACACTTAGGCAATTTATGTGAACATTTTAATAAAATCTACACTTTGGAGAAGATGCTTTGAGGAATACTGACTGACTAAGTAAAGGGATACCTAAATAAACTTCCATTTGTTGTTTAGTAAATATTTACTTTTAAAAAAATCACCTGTAGCCTTTTGTGTGTATGTGTGTGTGTGTGTCTCTGTGTCTGTGTGTAAGAGAGAGAGAGAGAGAGAGAGAGAGAGAGAGAGAGAGAGAGGAAGAGTGTTGCAAAAGGAAACAAAAGACTCACAATTTTTAATACAGTCACCTTGACAGATAGTGACAACGGTCTGGACTGATTTGGATAGCACAATACTAAGACCTAGAAGGTCCCCAGTGAATGCCTTTTCATAAGAGCCAGATGGAACGTGTTTGATGCTACTTTCTGCTGCTACAGCCTCTTGCAGAAAAAAGTTCTTTGGCTAAATAAAAGAGTGGCATTAATAATAGCACAGTAGTTAACTCTGTTCTTGCCCAGTCTCCAGAAAGAAAAGAACAATTCATAAATTTTGCCTGCTTGGTACTCGATAGAAACTGTAAGCAAATTCTATTTAATAAAAAGCACCCACTACAATGCCAACACTCAATAAATATTTAAAGTCGCCTGTTCACTCAATCAATAAACATTTACCAAAGGTTCCATATGTGCCAGATACAGAGAACTAGGCACTAGTACAGAGCTAATTAAAATTTGGTTTTTGTCTTTGAAAAGTCTATGGCTGCTTCTGAGCATGTTATTTTTGAGCAAAACTATCTTGAACAAATATCTTTAAGATAATTTATTGGATTTTCACTGTAAGCTAGTTTTGTGTAGTAATGTTATTCCTTCTAAGCATTACTCAGGTTAAGAACATAAAGGATCACAGAGTGAGGAACTATGTAAAGAGAAAAACGGAAATCCAAATAAACAGCATAAAATTGACAGAAGCCCATGTGTTCTCCTTATTTTCTGCCTAACAGATCAATTATAGCTCTAAAACATGTGCACTAGAAAAATATGCAGAGAAAATTTAGCTGCAACGGAATGTTGACAAGGTAACTAAGCAACGCTGGCAAGGGAAGTTCTTATTTTTCTTTCTCTATTGATGTCTTCTGCCTTATTAGTTTAAAAATCAAAAAGCCCTTGCCACGCATAAAGGAGAACTAAATCGCAACTCCCACTTGCTCCTAGGAGATCCATTTGCTTTAGCTGTAGTGGCCTCTAAAGAGAGGCTGGATGGCAGGAGGAAAAGGAGAGGGCCTAAAGCTCTTATTAGTTGGGAGAGAAGACATTCAACCTCTCACCTACAGGCTGGGGCACTCCTCAAACCAAAACAACAATAACAACAATAAAAAAGTTCACAAGAAATTATGCCTGCAAAGTAACCTAACAAAGGACACAGTGTTAAACTAGGTTGGTGCCTGGTATCAAGTGAGCATGTTTATTGAATAAATTTTAAAACTGAAAGTGAATAAAAAACACTTTCTATCAAACTAAAACTAAAGTGGGAACACAGAGCCAGGAGTAAACTCTGAGCACAGCCAGGAACAGTCTAAGGAAAACTAAACTGGACTGCTGAGCTTTGGTTATATGAGGACTCCAAGTGCATCCTTTATGTACAATGCCGATTCATCCAGGCAGGTGTCACCAGCTGTTGGGCTGCTCTGAAGCAGTCCCTGCAGGAAGCTCAAGACACCTGTCCAAATTGCTGGAGAGGTAGTATATGCTATGGGATATGCCCGCAGAAGCTTGAGTCTAGTTCAATCGCCAGCACCTGAGCATCTCTGGGTGCAGCCCTGGGAGGCCCTGAACAGCAGAATACCACACCCGCAGGTCCATGTGTTGAATTGCCACTGTGGTTGCTCAAGAATTGTGAAGAGGGGTCCAGAGTCTCCTGAGCATTGTTTGGGGTCCCTACCTAAACAGATATTTGTTCAATTTCTCTTTCAAATTGTGCATGCTGACAATAGTACAACAGGTAGTGCCCTTGTCTTGCGTGCTACCTGGGTTCAAACCCCGGCACCACGAATGGTCCCCCAAGTCCACCAGGAGGATCACAAAGCACAGAGCCAGGATAAGTCCTGAGTACCTGAGCACTGCTGGGTGTGCCAAAACAGAAACAAAATTTTAAAAATGTGATTCTATCCATTATCTGGTAATGTTTTACTTCTGTTTACTCTTCAAAAGTTCTCTCTGTTTATATGCCAATCCCCATATTGTAGAGATTTCTGCCTGAAAAGCAGTTTTATTTCTTTTTAATTTTTTGTGTGTAATTTTTTTGGTGTGACTCCTCAAAGTAGAGGAGTTTGCCTCATTTTAGTCTTCAAAGAAATGTATGACTTGGAAGCTTTAAATGCTTTTGTTAGAGCCAGGGATGTGGTTCAGATGTCTAGCCACAGTCCTTTCATGTGGAAGTGCCTGGTTCAGGAGAGGGGGAGGGAGAGGGAGGGAGTGAGAGAGGGAGTGAGGGGGGGAGGGAGGGGAGAGAAAGTCTGTTATTTGTGAGCACAGTAGCAAAGAAGCATACCGCCTACAAAAGTCTGTTTTGTGACTTTTTGTTGCAATCATCTTCCAGCTCTTTGGTGGCCATTCAAGCTGCATTCTCATTGCTTCACCTGTCACCTGTTTTTTTAGTCAACTGTGTGGACATCCTGGCATTAACAAAAACATCACATGTAGCAACAGCAGCTACAGCAACTCAGTGCACCGGTGTTTGTAGTAGACCCATAGCAATTCTTCACGTCATAGACTCAGAAGTGGGCACTTGGTAGTGAGAAAGAATTTAAAAGGTGACAGAAATGTAAATAAATCATGATTATTTTAAAAAGGAAAAGGTAAATGAAAAGAAAGGAGTGGGAGGAATTTATATGCTTTAATTCACCATACATATTCAATTGAAGGAAGGACTGTCACTGTGACTGTTCTCCCTCGTTGTTCATCGATTTGCTCGAGTGGGCCCAGTAACATTGTGAAACTTGTTACTGTGTTTGGCATATCGAATACGTCACAGGTAGCTTGCCAGGCTTTGCCGTGTGGGCAAAATACTCTCAGTATGTTGCTGGGCTCTCCAAGAGGGGCAGAGGAATCAAACTCGGGTCAGCCGTGTTGGCTGTGTGCAAGGCAAATGCCCTATTCACTGTGCTATTGCTCCAGCCCGAAGAAAGGTCACACTTTAAAAAAGAAGATTTTCTTAGTGAGAATAATTTTCTTCTAAATAAAGTCTTTCCAGAGACCAAAAGAGACTGGTTTAACTTCCCAGTAACAAGGAAGTTGGTAAGTCTTTGGTCTATCCTTGAATAGGGTTGATCCAATCATGGTTTAAAATAGTGAAAGTATTGTAAGAT